CAGGTTCTCTGGCAGGCTATTCCAGAGGCTGGGGGCATAGTAACTAAAGGCTGCCTCTCCATGCCTCTTGGTCCTGGGCTTTGGGATAGTTAAAAGGCCAGTGCCAGAGGACCTGAGGGACCTACTGGGTACATAACTTAAAAGCATGTCTGACATGTATTGGGGTCCAAAATCGTGGATTGACTTAAAAACCAATAGAAGAATCTTAAAAGTAATTCTAAAACTCAGGCAGCCAGTGCAGAGACTTTAAAACCGATGTAATGTGTGCTCTCCGTCTGGTCTTGGTCAGTACCCGTGCTGCAGCAGTCTGTATGTTTTGCAGTTGACCAATGGCTTTCTTGGGTAGACCAGACAGGAGAGCATTACAGTAGTCAAGCCTGCTTGTAATAAAAGCATGGATGAGTCTCTCTGTATCCGCCTGAGAGAGAAACGGCCGCACCTTGGCAATGTTCCCCAGGTGGTAAAAAGCTATTTTGGTCACATTCCTAATGTGTGATTTAAAGTTGAGTTCAGAATCTAAAATAACACCCAGGTTTTCTACCTGCTGCTTTATCTATATTGCCTGTGAATTAAAAATTAATCGGCCAGATTCTCTCTGTGCTTTGGCTCCAATAATAAAAACCTTGTCTTGATTTAGCTGGAGGAAGTTGTGAGCCATCCAACTATTTAAATCACTAATACATCTGTGGAGCTAAAATCATCTGGTGACACAGAAATGTAAAGTTGTGTATCCTCTGCGTAGCAGTGAAAATCAATGCTGTGCTTTCTGATAACGCTGCCAAGGGGTAACATATATAAACTGAACAGTACCGTACCCAAAATCGAACCTTGCGGAACGCCACACGTGATATCTATTTTCTCTGAGTTATGTTCACCAAGGGTGACAAAACTCTTGACCGGTTAAATTGGTCCTAAACCAATTTAGAACTGGACCGAGAGGCCAACCCACCTCTCCAGTGTGTCCAGAAGGACATCATGGTCAACAGAGGTCAACCACCTCTCCAGTGTGTCCAGAAGGACATCATGGTCAACAGTGTCGAATGCGGCGCTTAAATCCAAGAGTACAAGGACAGAGAGCTGTTTAGCATCGGTATTGGCTCTAAGATCATTTACCACTTTAACTAAGGCTGTCTCTGTGCTGTGCTGGGCACGAAAATCAGATTGGAATTTTAACTAAATACAGTTGGCACTTCAATCATTTAGCTGTTTGAAGACCAATTTCTCCAGAATTTTGTTTAAGAATGGAAGGTTGGAGATTAACCGAAAATTGCTAAAAACTGAAGAATCTAGATTACTTTTCTCCAGAAGGGATTTCACCATAGCAGTGGGGAAAGTGCCCGTAAACAGGGAGTGATTAACAATAGCTTGCACTTCTTCAGATATGCAATTAAAAACAGTTTTGAAGAAGGTGGTGGGGACAGGATCGAGAAGGCAGGTAGAAGGCTTAAGTTGTGATATCACTTTCCTGAGCATGTCTGTGTCAACCAGGGAAAATAATCAATAGTGCCTTTGCGTGGTAGGCTAGGGCACATAAACTTCTCATCAGGTCTTGCTTGACTGATAGCAAACATTAAGCTGGGTATCTTATTTCTGAAATATGCCGCAATATACTGGTAAAACAGTAGTGTTTAGTTCCAGTAGTTAGCTACACCGCTACACGGTAAAACAGTAGTGTGTAGTTCCAATAGTTAGCTACACCGCTACATGGTAAAACAGTAGTGTTTAGTTCCAATAGTTAGCTACACCGCTACATGGTAAAACAGTAGTGTGTAGTTCCAATAGTTAGCTACACCGCTACATGGTAAAACAGTAGTGTGTAGTTCCAATAGTTAGCTACACCGCTACATGGTAAAACAGTAGTGTGTAGTTCCAATAGTTAGCTACACCGCTACATGGTAAAACAGTAGTGTGTAGTTCCAATAGTTAGCTATACCGCTACATGGTAAAACAGTAGTGTGTAGTACCAATAGTTAGCTACACCGCTACATGGTAAAACAGTAGTGTTTAGTCCCAGTAGTTAGCTATACCGCTACATGGTAAAACAGTAGTGTGTAGTTCCAATAGTTAGCTACACCGCTACATGGTAAAACAGTAGTGTTTAGTCCCAGTAGTTAGCTATACCGCTACATGGTAAAACAGTAGTGTTTAGTTCCAGTAGTTAGCTACACCGCTACACGGTAAAACAGTAGTGTGTAGTACCAGTAGTTAGCTACACCGCTACACGGTAAAACAGTAGTGTGTAGTTCCAATAGTTAGCTACACCGCTACATGGTAAAACAGTAGTGTGTAGTTCCAATAGTTAGCTACACCGCTACATGGTAAAACAGTAGTGTGTAGTTCCAATAGTTAGCTACACCGCTACATGGTAAAACAGTAGTGTGTAGTTCCAGTAGTTAGCTACATCGCTACATGGTAAAACAGTAGTGTGTAGTTCCAGTAGTTAGCTACACCGCTACATGGTAAAACAGTAGTGTGTAGTTCCAATAGTTAGCTACACCGCTACATGGTAAAACAGTAGTGTGTAGTTCCAATAGTTAGCTATACCGCTACATGGTAAAACAAGTAATTAACTACTGAAAACACTAAACACTACCTCGATTTAAATGTAGTTCCACTACCACCAAGCTACTGCAAAATGTAGTTAAATTACTATTTTGTTCTTATTATACCCCAGTGGTTGAACTACACTGAACAAAAATATAAAGCGCAACATGTAAAGTGTTGGTCCCATGTTTCATGAGCTGAACTTTTTCATATGCACAAAAAGCGTATTTCGCTCAAAGTTTGTGCACAAATTTGTTTACATTCCTGTTAGTGAGCATTTCTCCTTTGCCAAGATAATCCATCCACCTGACAGGTGTGGCATTTCAAGGTGATTAAACAGCATGATCATTGCACAGGTGCATCTTGTGCTGGGGACAATAAAAGGCCACTAAAATGTGCAGTTCTGTCATACAACACAATGCCACAGATGTCTCAAGTTGAGGGAGCGTGCAATTGGCATGCTGACTGCAGGACTGTCCACCAGAGCTGTTGCCAGAGAAATGTGTGTTAATTTCTCTAAGCCGCCTCCAACGTCGTTTTAGAGAATTTGGCAGTACGTCCAACCGGCCTCACAACCGCAGACCACGTGTATGTCGTCGTGTGGGCGTGCGGTTTGCTGATGTCAACGTTGTGAACAGAGTGCCCCATAGTGGCGGTGGGGTTATGGTATAGGCAGGCAGAAGTTACGGACAATGAACACAATTGCATTTTATCGATGGCAATTTGAATGCATAGAGATACCGTGACGAGATCCTGAGACCTATTGTCATGCCATTCATCCGCCTCCATCACCTCATGTTTCAGCAAAATGATGCACGGCCCCATGTTGCAAGGATCTGTACACAATTCCTGGAAGTTGAAAATGTCCCAGTTCTTCCAAGGCCTGCATACTCACCAGACATGTCACCCATTGAGCATGTTTGGGATGCTCTGGATCGACATGTACGACAGCATGTTCCAGTTTCCGCCAATATCCAGCAACTTTGCACAGCTATAGAAGAGGAGTGGGACAACATTCCACAGGCCACAATCAACTCTGTGTGAAGGAGATGTGATGCATGAGGCAAATGGTGGTTACACCAGTTACTGACTGGTTTTCTGATCCATGCACCTACTTTTTTTTTTTTTAAAGGTCTCTGACCAGCAGATGCATATCTGTATTCCCAATCATGTGAAATCCATATATTAGCGCCTAATCTATTATTTAAATTGACTGACTTCCTTAAATGAACTGTAATACAGTAAAATCTTCGAAATTGTTGTGTTTATATTTTTGTTCAGTTAACATGTATTCACTATACATTCATTACTCCCCAACACTGGACAAGTCACCAGCTTTGAGCTAGCTTGTGTTAGCTTGCTAGCTACTAGACGTGGTCCCTAGTCTTCCGTCTCCCAAGACGCTTATAAATCTGAAAACCGCTGCAAATAAAATATTTGCTACATAATGTTAGGCGTTAGATATCGTATAATCGTATCTTTGGTTACCTTCTGCCATGGTTTATGCTGGTTTCTAAATTGATGTCACCGCCGAAACAACAACAGCCAGAGAGCGCTAACGAAGCAGTCGTCAGAAAATTAGGCGCCTTTTGATTGGCTATCCAAATTCCGGAAATGTGACTTTTAAAGGGCTAGCGCCGAAATTCCTGAACGGAAGTTCAACAGATTATCCATTATATTGACCAGATGCTCGAGTGACCGCTCTAACAATGAAAATACATGTCTTCAGAAATGGAAGGCAGTCGGGAGGAGGCGAGATCTCCCGAGTGGCGCAGTGGACTAAGGAGGGGTTGGCCGGCAGGGATGTGGGTTCGTTTCCCACGGGGGGCCAGTATGAAAAATAATGGAAAAAAATAATTTTTAAAAAACATGTATGCACTCACTAACTGTAAGTCGCTCTGGATAAGAGCGTCTGCTAAATGACTGAAATGTAAACGTAAACGTAAGATCAAGGTGGGACCATTCTAGCCAATGAGAGGGTAGATATGCGCTTGAACAACGGGAAGAACTCCGATATAAAGTGTTTTTTTTTCTCTCAAAGTTGGCGTGTCCTACTTATATCAGTAGACTCGTAACAACCTAAACATTACGAAACTTTTATTCGATGAAATAAGCCACACGTAACAAAATAAGCCATTCAATTTTGTGTAAATTAACCAAACGCGACACTCATTGACCTTCATACAAAAACTCGCCGGTTGTTGAGCAAAAAAATAAAAAATAAAAAGAGAAGCTGGAGAAGACAGATTTTGGGCCCAGTTATCCCTCTCGCTTCGCCTTATCCTCTCTGGTATTTCTTTAAAAAATAATGAATATAACATTACTTTTGGTATGCCACGGTAAACTTCCACGCTTTATCTACTCTCAGTGCTTGTCGATTTACTTGTCTGTATACCATTATCTATACACTTATTACCGTATTTGGGGTCTTGTTTACGTGTTAGACAAGTCCGGTGTTCCACGCATGCGTAGCGCCAACTTCCTGTTACAACAAGACACCGATGTCTTGGAACTGTGTGGACTGGATCTCTACAGTGGTTTTGTTATTATGATAAAATAGACAGGTTTAGGATCACCTCCTGGATATGACAATGGTAACTAGCTACTGTAACTAGTTGTGTAGAGTTGTAACGTTACAGTATTTCACTACCATGTCGGACAAAGTTAGGGCTGGGGACGGCAAAGACAACGGAGATCTCATTAGAAGCTACCATAAACAGGCATTTCAATACATATCCGTGGCACTCAAGATCGATGAAGATGACAAAGGTTGAATGCATCTCATCTTTTTTTAAATTTTTTATATTGTAGATGTTTATCATACATTAGCTTCGATGAAACCAAGAGAGTTTTACAATGTCAAAACTCTTGGTTGCATCGAAGCTAATCATACATGTTGTGTGACTGTATGCAAGCATATGCAATGGCTCACTGGGAGTGTGTGTGTGTATATGTGTGTGTGCGCGTGAGAGAGAGTGAGTGAGTGAGTGAGTGTGTGTGTGAGAGTGAGTGTGTGTGTGAGAGTGAGTGTGTGTGTGTGTCTGTCTGTGTACGCTCTCTCTCTCTCTCTCTATCTCTCTCTCTCTCTCTCTCTATCTGTGACTCTGAGCCTGTGGGTTTGTGATGGCAGGTGTCAAGGAGGAGGCAGTCCAGTGGTATCAGAAAGGCATTTCAGAGCTTCAAAAGGGGATTGCTATTGAAGTCATAGGACAAGGTAAACTAATTCCTACCTCATCGTCTTTCAAGTTAATACGAGGTGGTTTGTGTTTTGGCCAGTTACCATGTTTCTCTTTCTTTCACTTTCACTTTAGGAGAACATTATGATCGGGCAAAGAGGCTTCAAACTAAGATGATCACCAATCTCACCATGGCAAAGGACCGACTCGCTCTTTTAGGTCAGCTGTCTGACGTTTTTTTTTTTAGATTATATCACATCATGATAACTTCCCATACTGGTAATATATGAGTCATGCTGCAGTCTTCTCTCACAACACACTTGAAGTGATGCCACTCTTAGATTTGAGCTATAAAGATTTGTGCTGTAAAGAAATCCCTGACTAAGATCAGTACTTTTATCTCTCTTTCTCTCTCTCCCCCTCACTCAACAAGGTTTAAAAAATATAGACATTTCAAGTGTTATATTACCAGCTATGTGTTTTAGCAATGTGCAAATAGTTGTAGTGCGTATAGTAGGGTCTCTCTCTCTCTCCATCCTCTCTCTCTCTCTCTCGCTCCATCCTCTCTCTCTCTCTCTCTCTCTACATCTCTTTCTCTCTCTCTCTACATCCTCTCTCTCTCTCTCCATCCTCTCTCTCTCTCTCTCTATCTTCTCTCTCCATCACCACAGAAGGTGCATCGGCGTCTAAAAAGAGAAACAGCTCTCAGAGTCCATCAGGCCATCTCCCTACCCCTCCAGTGAGGCCTACTGGTCCAAAGAACCAGCCAGGTCCAGGTGGTTCCATGTCCAGTCACAGCAAGCCAGCGAGCACTGGAAGAACTGGCTCAAGCAAGACTAACAATATCAAGGTATCCCTGGTCCCATTAAAGTACAGGCCTTGTCCTATACTGTCTCTTATACCTGGTCCCATAAACGATTTAGTCCTAGTCTTACAACCTCCCCGAGTGGCGCAGCTGTGCCACTAGAGATCCTGGTTCGAATCCAGGCTCTGTTGTAGCCGGCCGCGACCGGGAGACCCATGGGGCGGCGCACAATTGGCCCAGCGTCGTCCAGGGTAGGGGAGGGAATGGCCGGCAGGGATGTAGCTCAGTTGGTAGAGCATGGCGTTTGCAACGCCAGGGTTGTGGGTTCGATTCCCACGGGGGGCCAGTATGAAAAAAAAAAACTGTAAGTCGCTCTGGATAAGAGCGTCTGCTAAATGACTAAAATGTAAATGTAACAGTTTACAGAAAACAACGTTTCTGAGTAGTACTGTTTCAAATGGGACATTGTTGCTCATAGTGTAGGCTTTTTGTTTTATGTGAAGTGTATTTTTATGGTCTTATGGAGTGCTCTCTGTAAGGTTGTCCCTCGGGCTGCAGGAAGAGGACAGAATGGCAGACCGGCAGCAGCGTCAAAGGAACCACAGAGGAGGGATATGAAGAACTTTAAGAATGTGGACAGCAAGCTGGCCAACCTCATACTGAATGAGATCGTGGACAGGTAGGGTAGAGAAGTAGCCTAGCCTGGATCTATCCGTGTAGTCTTTTGATCATTGTCTAGGGAGTTGGCTATACAGTACAAACAGATGTATGACCAGGCTATGATAGAGAAGACCCTCAGCACATTCAATGGAGGGATTCTAGATACGATGATAGTGGACTGCAGTCAGGATCAAATTATACATAGACTCTTGGGGATGCCCTGACGTCAAAATCTTCGACTTTTGAGGGGGCCCACACTGGTACCTTTGTTAAGGCGGTGCCTAGCTCTCCTGTAATCTAACCCATGACTGTAATTGAGACTGCTGTGGTTCTGGAGTCATTCAAACATGTGTGTCTGTGTATTTCAGTGGGTCAGCAGTGAGCTTTGAAGACATAGCAGGACAGGAGCTGGCTAAACAGGCTCTCCAGGAGATAGTTATCCTGCCTGCACTCAGACCTGAGGTGAGATTGTTTCCTTTCTACTCTGTGTTATGAGCTGCTATCTGTCAGTTATGAGCTGCTATCTGTCAGTGATGAGCTGCTATCTGTCAGTTATGAGCTGCTATCTGTCAGTGATGAGCTGCTCTCTGTCAGTGATGAGCTGCTATCTGTCAGTGATGAGCTGCTATCTGTCAGTGATGAGCTGCTATCTGTCAGTGATGAGCTGCTATCTGTCAGTGATGAGCTGCTCTCTGTCAGTTATGAGCTGCTCTCTGTCAGTGATGAGCTGCTATCTGTCAGTGATGAGCTGCTATCTGTCAGTGATGAGCTGCTATCTGTCAGTGATGAGCTGCTCTCTGTCAGTGATGAGCTGCTCTCTGTCAGTGATGAGCTGCTCTCTGTCAGTGATGAGCTGCTATCTGTCAGTGATGAGCTGCTCTCTGTCAGTGATGAGCTGCTATCTGTCAGTGATGAGCTGCTATCTGTCAGTGATGAGCTGCTATCTGTCAGTTATGAGCTGCTCTCTGTCAGTGATGAGCTGCTATCTGTCAGTGATGAGCTGCTATCTGTCAGTGATGAGCTGCTATCTGTCAGTGATGAGCTGCTATCTGTCAGTGATGAGCTGCTATCTGTCAGTGATGAGCTGCTATCTGTCAGTGATGAGCTGCTATCTGTCAGTGATGAGCTGCTCTCTGTCAGTGATGAGCTGCTATCTGTCAGTGATGAGCTGCTATCTGTCAGTGATGAGCTGCTATCTGTCAGTGATGAGCTGCTATCTGTCAGTGATGAGCTGCTATCTGTCAGTTATGCCTGATTCACATTCTAGGGTCAAACCTACCCAAGCCAAGCTGAGCTGCATTGGTCTGGTCTGGTTACACATCCACCATATTTGCTGAAACCGTGCTGAAAAGGACAATTTGAAATGAAAATATCAGAGCCAGCACAGTACGGTTGAGGTCGGCCCTATTGTGGGAATCAGGCTTCACAGTTGTGTAGTGGTCTCTACTCCAGTCTATGGTGTGGTCTCTACTCCAGTCTGGTGGCGTTGTCTCTACTCCAGTCTGGTGGTGTTGTCTCTACTCCAGTCTATGGCGTTGTCTCTACTCCAGTCTATGGTGTTGTCTCTACTCCAGTCTATGGTGTTGTCTCTACTCCAGTCTGGTGGCGTTGTCTCTACTCCAGTCTATGGTGTTGTCTCTACTCCAGTCTATGGTGTTGTCTCTACTCCAGTCTATGGTGTTGTCTCTACTCCAGTCTATGGTGTTGTCTCTACTCCAGTCTATGGTGTTGTCTCTACTCCAGTCTATGGTGTTGTCTCTCTACTCTCCAGTCTATGGTGTTGTCTCTACTCCAGTCTATGGGTTGTCTCTACTCCAGTCTATGGTGTTGTCTCTACTCCAGTCTGGTGGCGTTGTCTCTACTCCAGTCTATGGCGTTGTCTCTACTCCAGTCTATGGGGTTGTCTCTACTCCAGTCTGGTGGCGTTGTCTCTACTCCAGTCTATGGTGTTGTCTCTACTCCAGTCTATGGGTTGTCTCTACTCCAGTCTGGTGGCTTTGTCTCTACTCCAGTCTATGGTGTTGTCTCTACTCCAGTCTGGTGGCGTTGTCTCTACTCCAGTCTATGGTGTTGTCTCTACTCCAGTCTGGTGGCGTTGTCTCTACTCCAGTCTATGGTGTTGTCTCTACTCCAGTCTATGGTGTTGTCTCTACTCCAGTCTATGGTGTTGTCTCTACTCCAGTCTGGTGGCGTTGTCTCTACTCCAGTCTATGGTGTTGTCTCTACTCCAGTCTGGTGGTGTTGTCTCTACTCCAGTCTATGGCGTTGTCTCTACTCCAGTCTATGGCGTTGTCTCTACTCCAGTCTGGTGGTGTTGTCTCTACTCCAGTCTATGGTGTTGTCTCTACTCCAGTCTATGGCGTTGTCTCTACTCCAGTCTATGGCGTTGTCTCTACTCCAGTCTATGGTGTTGTCTCTACTCCAGTCTATGGTGTTGTCTCTACTCCAGTCTATGGTGTTGTCTCTACTCCAGTCTATGGTGTTGTCTCTACTCCAGTCTATGGTGTTGTCTCTACTCCAGTCTATGGCGTTGTCTCTACTCCAGTCTGGTGGTGTTGTCTCTACTCCAGTCTATGGTGTTGTCTCTACTCCAGTCTATGGTGTTGTCTCTACTCCAGTCTATGGTGTTGTCTCTACTCCAGTCTGGTGTTGTGTTGGTCCCCTCTAGCTGTTCACTGGTCTCAGATCCCCGGCACGAGGTCTGCTCCTCTTCGGCCCTCCAGGCAACGGAAAGACCATGCTGGTGAGTCAAACGTTCTGTGACCATGACATCACATGGTGTTGAGGAAGAGGTTATTCCTCCTTCTCTTGATAATGATTGGTCTCTTTTGTCCCCCTACCCAGGCCAAAGCAGTAGCCATGGAATCCCACGCCACCTTCTTTAACATCAGCGCCGCCACTCTGACCTCTAAATGGGTGAGTGGTCTGAAGAGTGTTGTCATTTTCTGAGTCCCAAATGGCACCCTATTCTCTAAGTAGTGCACTACTTCAGACCAGGACCCAGAGGGTAGTGCACTACTTCAGACCAGGACCCAGGTAGAGCGATGTCTCACCTAGTGGATTAGCTAATGTTAGTGGTAGCTGAGTGAGCAGTTAACGGTTTATTACTGATTTCTAAACTATCTATAAACAAATGATTATACGTCTTTAAACTGCTTATACACTCTTTACAACCACTTTATAAAGTATACTTGAGTGACCTTTGACCTGTATCTCTCCTTTCCAGGTGGGAGAGGGAGAGAAGCTGGTCAGAGCTTTGTTTGCTGTGGCCAGAGAACTACAGCCTGCCATCATCTTCATTGGTTGGTTTGATTGATTTTATTGAATGTCTGACGTCTAACATTGATCTGACGTCCAACAGTGATCTGACATCCAACAGTGATCTGACGTCTAACAGTGATCTGACGTCCAACAGTAATCTGACGTCTAACAGTGATCTGACGTCCAACAGTGATCTGAGGTCTAACAGTAATCTGAGGTCTAACAGTAATCTGAGGTCTAACAGTGATCTGACGTCTAACAGTGATCTGACGTCTAACAGTGATCTGAGGTCTAACAGTGATCTGAGGTCTAACAGTAATCTGAGGTCTAACAGTAATCTGACGTCTAACAGTGATCTGAGGTCTAACAGTGATCTGACGTCTAACAGTGATCTGACGTCTAACAGTGATCTGACTTCCAACAGTAATCTGAGTTACATATTGCAGTTTATATTTAATTGTATAATTTATTTTCCTGGTTGTGTTTGTTTCTGAGAGACTGAACAGACAGTGGCTGGTCACTGACCTTGTGGTGATGCTGTTTGCCGTCCTCCCAGATGAGATCGACAGCCTGCTGTGTGAGAGGAGGGAAGGGGAACACGATGCCAGCCGACGATTAAAAACCGAGTTCCTCATCCAGTTCGATGGGGTAAGACCCCTTTGTTATGTCACAGTAATGTTACTCATACTGCAATTATCAATGGCAGTTGCAATGCCTATGTACTGTTTTATTCATGTTTTATGTATGGGTTATCAATGAGCTATAAAAAGACCTTGTGTACACTACACTACATGACCAAAAGTATGTGGACACCTGCTCGTCCAACATCTCATTCCAAAATCATGGGCATTAATATGGAGTTGGTCCCCCCCCCTTTGCTGCTATACCAGCCTCCACTCTTCTGGGAAGGCTTTCCACTAGATGTTGCTGCGGGGACTCATATGTTGTTTGTCACATACACGTGTTTAGCAGATGTTATTGCGGGTGTAGCGAAATGCTTGTGCTTCTAGCTCCGACAGTGCAGTAATATCTTACAAGTAATATCTAACAATTTCACAACATATACCCAATACACACAAATCTAAGTAAGGAATGGAATTTAAGAATATATACATATATGGACAAGCAATGACAGAGCGGCATGGACTAAGATACAGTAGAATATTATAGAATACAGTATATACATGAGATGAGTAGTGCAAGATATGTAAACATTATTAAAGTGACTAGTGTTCCATTTCTTAAAGTGGCCAATGATTTCAATAGGCAGCAGCAGCCTCTAATGTGCTAGTAATGGCTATTTAACAGTCAGATGGCCTTGAGATAGAAGCTGTTTTTCATTCTCTCGGTCCCAGCTTTGATGCACCTGTACTGGCCTCGCCTTCTGGATGAAAGCGGGGTGAACAGGCCGTGGCTCGGATGGTTGATGTCCTTGATGATCTTTTTGGCCTTCCTGTGACATTGGGTGCTGTATGTGTCTTGGAGGGTGGGTAGTTTGCCCCCGTTAATGCGTTCGGCAGACGGCACCACCCTCTGGAGAGCCCTGTGGTTGCGGGCGGTGCAGTTGACGTACCAGGCGGTGATACAGCCCGACAGGATGCTCTCAATTGTCGTGCACTGATGTTGGGCGATTAGGCCTGGCTCGCAGTCTGCGTTCTAATACATCCCAAAGGTGTTCGATGGGGTTGAGGTCAGGGCTCTGTGCAGGCCAGTCAAGTTCTTCCACACTGATCGCGACAAACCATTTCTGAATGGACCTCGCTTTGTGCACGGGGGCATTGTCATGCTGAAACAGGAATGGGCCTTCCCCAAACTGTTGCCACAAAGTTGGAAGCACAGAATAATCTAGAATGTCATTGTATGCTGTAGCGTTTAGATTTCCCTTCACTGAAACAAAGGGGTCTAGCCCGAACCATGAACAGACCCAGACCATTATTCCTCCTCCATCAAACTTTACAGTTGGCACTATGCATTCGGGTAGCTTGCGTTCTCCTGGGCATTGCGCATGGTGATCTTAGGCTTGTGTGCGGCTGCTCGGCCATGGAAACCCATTTCATGAAGCTCCCGACAAACAGTTATTGTGCTGACGTTGCTTCCAGAGGCAGTTTGGAACTCGGTAGTGAGTGTTGCAACCGAGGACAGACAATTGTTATGCGCTTCAGCACTCTGTGGTCCCATTCTGTGTGCTTGTGTGGCCTACCACTTTGCGGCTGAGCCATGATAATAGACGTTTCCACTTCACAATGTTTCCACTTCAGAGTTGACCGGGGCAGCTCTATCAGGGCAGAAATTTGACGAACTTACTTGTTGGAAAGGTGGCATCCTGTGACGGTGCCACGTTGAAAGTCACTGAGCTCTTCAGTGAGGCCATTCTACTGCCAATGTTTGTCTGTGGAGATTGCATGGCAGTGTACTCGATTGTATACACCTGTCAGCAATGGGTGTGGATGAAATAGCTGAATCCACTAATTTGAAGTGGTGTCCACATACTTTTATATATACAGTGGGGAGAACAAGTATTTGATACACTGCCGATTTTGCAGGTTTTCCTACTTACAAAGCATGTAGAGGTCTGTAATTTTTATCATAGGTACACATCAACTGTGAGAGACGGAATCTAAAACAAAAATCCAGAAAATCACATTGTATGATTTTTTAAATAATTAATTTGCATGACATAAGTATTTGATCACCTACCAACCAGTAAGAATTCCGGCTCTCACAGACCTGTTAGTTTTTCTTTAAGAAGCCCTCCTGTTCTCCACTCATTACCTGTATTAACTGCACCTGTTTGAACTCGTTACCTGTATAAAAGACACCTGTCCACACACTCAATCAAACAGACTCCAACCTCTCCACAATGGCCAAGACCAGAGAGCTGTGTAAGGACATCAGGGATAAAATTGTAGACCTGCACAAGGCTGGGATGGGCTACAGGACAATAGGCAAGCAGCTTGGTGAGAAGGCAACAACTGTTGGCGCAATTATTAGAAAATGGAAGAAGTTCAAGATGACGGTCAATCACCCTCGGTCTGGGGCTCCATGCAAGATCTCACCTCGTGGGGCATCAATGATCATGAGGAAGGTGAGGGATCAGCCCAGAACTACACGGCAGGACCTGGTCAATGACCTGAAGAGAGCTGGGACCACAGTCTCAAAGAAAACCATTAGTAACACACTACGCCGTCATGGATTAAAATCCTTCAGCGCACGCAAGGTCCCCCTGCTCAAGCCAGCGTATGTCCAGGCCCGTCTAAAGTTTGCCAATGACCATCTGGATGATCCAGAGGAGGAATGGGAGAAGGTCATGTGGTCTGATGAGACAAAAATAGAGCTTTTTGGTCTAAACTCCACTCGCCGTGTTTGGAGGAAGAAGAAGGATGAGTACAACCCCAAGAACACCATCCCAACCGTGAAGCATGGAGGTGGAAACATCATTCTTTGGGGATGGTTTTCTGCAAAGGGGACAGGACGACTGCACCGTATTGAGGGGAGGATGGATGGGGCCATGTATCGCGAGATCTTGGCCAACAACCTCCTTCCCTCAGTAAGAGCATTGAAGATGGGTCGTGGCTGGGTCTTCCAGCATGACAACGACCCGAAACACACAGCCAGGGCAACTAAGGAGTGGCTCCGTAAGAAGCATCTCAAGGTCCTGGAGTGGCCTAGCCAGTCTCCAGACCTGAACCCAATAGAAAATCTTTGGAGGGAGCTGAAAGTCCGTATTGCCCAGCGACAGCCCCGAAACCTGAAGGATCTGGAGAAGGTCTGTATGGAGGAGTGGGCCAAAATCCCTGCTGCAGTGTGTGCAAACCTGGTCAAGACCTACAGGAAACGAATGATCTCTGTAATTGCAAACAAAGGTTTCTGTACCAAATATTAGGTTCTGCTTTTGTGATGTATCAAATACTTATGTCATGCAATAAAATGCAAATTAATTACTTTAAAATCATACAATGTGATTTTCTGGATTTTTGTTTTAGATTCCGTCTCTCACAGTTGAAGTGTACCTATGATAAAAATTACAGACCTCTACATGGTTTGTAAGTAGGAAAACCTGCAAAATCGGCAGTGTATCAAATACTTGTTCTCCCCGCTGTGTATATATATATATATAGTGTAGGTATCCTTCAACAACACTAGTCTCCTGATTAGTCTCTACTAATCTCCTGCAGGTGCAGTCAGAAGGTGCAGAGAGGGTCCTGGTGATGGGAGCTACCAACAGGCCACAGGAGCTGGACGAAGCTGTTCTCAGGTACTGAATATGATACACAAAATAAAGTTCTGAACCGGTTCAAACCCAAAAAAATAAGTAACATTTTATATCGTTCATTTCTGTTCTTTTTTTTTTAAACCTCTGAAATACATATATTTTTAAACATTTAGCTCAACATTAAATTAACACTGTGTGGATAGAGCAGCTTGCTATGGAGCGGGCAAGCCATATACAGTATATGCATTGGACAGACAAGTGTAGGGCGCGAGATGTGACTAAAGTTTTGCGGGTGGTGATAGAGGGTGGAGGAGGAGGCTTGGTAGCCTAAAACAACCGGGAAAATAACGGTTCTTTTCCGGAACAGTATAGATCACTTTCGTTCCCAGTTCTGATTCTGTTCCTTGAAAAATGTCCTTATTTTCCGGGTTTTCTGTTCTGTTCCCTGAACCGGTTCTAATTTGTTATTTTATTTGTCCTTTTTATAGGCGATTTGCCAAACGGGTGTACGTGTCCTTGCCAACAGAGGAGGTAAACCCACGTTGCATGTTTCTGAACTTTGCTATGGCTTGAGTAGTTTACCGGGTAGATTTTTAAAAAAAACAATGTTATGTGTTTGCTATCGCCACAGACGCGTTTCAAGTTGCTGAATAATCTATTGGGAAAGCATGGACACCCACTCAACCAGAAGGAATTAGCCCATCTAGCAAAGTAAGTTCTCACACTACGCTACACTTGGCCACATTTTTTCCCCCCCAAAGCATAAAACCGTAGAGGTAAAACCATACAACCTAAACATGCTCTAACCTCCTCAGAATGACAGGGGGCTATTCAGGAAGTGATCTTACCTCATTGGCTAAGGATGCTGCTCTTGGACCAATCAGGGGTGAGTAAAGGCCAGGCCGATCTTTCAGCCTGTACCAATGCCCAAAGGTTATGGCTATATGCAATGTACCCATTATACCTATATACACTCACCGGCCAGTTTATTAGGTACACCCCGGATCGCACCTACTATATAAACCAGGCATCCAGTTACTGTTCGACTGAATGTTAGAATGGGCAAAACAAGTGACCTAAGCGACTTTGAGCGTGGCATGATCGTCGGTGCCAGGCACGCCGGGTCCAGTACCTCTGAAACGGTCGACCTCCTGGGCTTTTAATGCACGACAGTGTCTAGGGTTTACAGAGAATGGTGTGACAAACATAACAACATCCAGTCAGCGGCAGTCCTGTGGGCGAAAACAGCTCATTGATGAGATGTCGAAGGAGAATGGCAAGAATCGTGCAAGCTAACAGGCGGGCCACAAACAGACAAATAACATGTTTACATTTTAGTCATTTAGCAAATGCTCTTATCCAGAGCGACTTACAGTTAGTGAGTGCATACATTTTCATACTGCCCCCCCCCCCCCCCCGTGGGAATCGAACCCACAACCCTGGCGTTGCAAGCGCCATGCTCTACCAACTGAGCTACACGGGACACAATAAGTATTTATAACGGTGCAGTACAACAGTGGTGTGCAGAACGGCATCTCGGAACACACAACTCGTCGATCCTTGTCACGGATGGGGTATTGCAGCCAACGACCACCCCGGGTTCCACTCCTATCAGCTAAAACCAATAAGAAGCGGCTCCAGTGGGCACGCCGTCACCACCACTGGACAATTGAGGAGTGGAAAAACATAGCCTGAAACATGACAGTGAGTTTCAGTTTACTTGAGAGGCCTGCACAGTCCCCAGACCTCAACCCAATAGAGCGTCTTTGGGATGAGATGGAACGGGCTGTTCGCAGAATGAATGTACCACCGTCCAATCTGTAGCATGGACCGACATCCTTGTGGAACTTTTCCGACACCTTGTAGAATGCCCCGAAGAATTCAGGCTGTTCTGGAGGCAAAGTGGGGTCCGAACCCGGTACTAGTTGGGTGTACCTAATAAATTGTCCGGTGTATATTATAATATTGTAGCAGACCTGATGGGTAGCCCCGACCAGGACTCAAACCCAGGTCCAGCGACTGTCAACAGCTTAACCGTTACGCCAAGAGGTCCGAACCCCTTGACGAGGTCGCTAGGTGTTGGGTTAAGGTCTCCACAATATCTTTATGCCTGGTGCCTGATCATGTTTGTTTTGTCTGTTTACACAGAACTGGGACCAGAACAAGTGAAAAACATGGCTGCTAGTGATGTAAGTTGTAACAGCTAAAAGCTAGAATAGACTATATCTGACATGAATAGAGAATATATTTCTGTGTCTGAATAGAGAATATACACTATATATACAAAAGTATGTGGACACCCCTTAAAATGAGTGGATTTGACATTTTCAGCCACACCCGTTGCTGACAGGTGTATAGAATCGAGCACACAGCTATGCAATCTCCATAGACAAACATTGGCAGTAGAATGGCCTTACTGAAGAGCTCAGTGACTTTCAACGTGGCACCGTCATAGGATGCCACCTTTCCAACAAGTTAGTTCGTCACACAAGCTCACAGAACGGGACCGGCGAGTGCTGAAGCGCGTTAAAATGGTCTGTCCTCGGTTGCAAAACTCACTACCGAGTTCCAAACTGCCTCTGGAAGCAACGTCAGCACAAGAACTGTTCATCGGGAGCTTCATGAAATGGGTTTCCATGGCCGAGCAGCCGCACACAAGCCTAAGATCACCATCTGCAATGCCAAGCGTCGGCCGGAGTGGTGTAAAGCTCACCGCCATTGGACTCTGGAGCAGTGGAAACACTTTCTCTGGAGTGATGAATCACTCTTCACCATCTGGCAGTCCGACGGACGAATCTGTGTTTGGTGGATGCCAGGAGAACGCTACCTGCCCCAATGCACAGTGCCAACTGTAACGTTTGGTGGAGGAGGAATAATGATCTGGGGCTGGGCCCCTTAGTTCCAGTGAAGGGAAATCGTAATGCTACAGCATACAATTACATTCTAGACGATCCTTCCCTGAAGAGTGGAGGCTGTTATAGCAGAAAAGGGGGGGGGGGGACCAACTCCATAGTAATGCCCAAGATTTTGGAATGAGACGTTCGAAGAGCAGATGTCCACATACTTTTGGTCATGTAGTGTATTTCTGTGTATGAATAGAGAATATATTTCTGTGTCTGAATAGAGAATATATTTCTGTGTCTGAATAGAGAATATATTTCTGTGTCTGAATAGAGAATATATTTCTGTGTCTGAATAGAGAATATATTTCTGTGTCTGAATAGAGAATATATTTCTGTGTCTGAATAGAGAATATATTTATGTGTCTGAATAGAGAATATATTTATGTGTATACTGATGCTTTTTTGCATTTACAGATGCGTAACATCCGCTGCCGGGACTTTGAGGATTCTCTGAAGCGTATAAAGCCCAGTGTCAGTCCCACAACCCTGGACGCGTATGTTAGGTGGAACACTGACTATGGAGACACCACGGTCTTCTAGAACCATGGAACTAACTCACTTCCCAGCTTATTTTGCATAAAAACCTTTCCACAACTTTCTGGGAACGGTGCAGGTAGTTGCTTGGCTTTGGAACGTTCTTTTATTGGTATTTCAATATTTTAACCAGAACGTTTCCTAAAAGTTCAAACATGGTTGCATTTAATCTCAATTTTGGTAATGTTCTAGGAACGTTCTCCAACTGGTTTGACGTTGGGAATGTTCTCAAATAGTTCAGTGAACGTTAAAAAACAACGTGGGAATTTCAGTACTTCAGCATAACGTGTCCTACAGGTTGCCTCCTGGTTCTATTTAAAGTAATGTTTAAAAAATAATCTGAGAGCGTTAAGAAAACTTTCCATAAAAAACCCACAAGAAAACTTTAACGTTCAGAGAACGTTCTAAGAATGTTATTTAAAAACATATACATTCTGTTCTCAGCATCAACAAAACTCTCTCTATCCTCTATCTTGTTAAGTGTGTTCAGGTGTGTTGGCCGCGCACACTAATTGGCCACACCTAATCTTAATGAGTGCTTGTTTCCTTTAAAAAAGTGGTCTGTTTGAATAGACTTAAATGAACAGCTTTGTATGCGTAAAAAACTTAACATGCTAACTCCATCCTGGTGGTGCAGTGGACTAATTCCATGGATAGAGAACAGAAGATGATGGGTTCGAATCTCACTGATGCTGTGCCACAATAAAACATTAATGTGTTTGCCTGATTAATGTCAAAGGAAATGAATGTCCATGTGTCCGATGTGTGCTGGGAGTTCAAAACAGTTAACCTGAGCTAGCAGTGTTATTAAAAGTCTTATTGAAATATTCAGTGAAAGTTTTAAGGACGTTTTTCAGAAACTTCCAAATAACCTATAATTTCCATTCTCACAGCATTAATAAAACCTCCCGGGAAAGATGCGCGAATACAACAAGTATAGACTTTACCGTTTTAAATGCTTACATACGAGCCCTTTCCCAACAATGCAGTTAAAAAGTACTACAATTAACAAATAGATTAAAAATAAAATAGTGACACAATAAAAAAAAAAACGTTTAAAAAAAAAACTATCAAGGAACCAGAGTAAAACGTTCTCAGAACCTCCCTGCAACCTAAAAATGAACCCAACCTAAAGATAAACCCGGAACAGTCAACATTTTCACTTCTTTTCTCAGAAGGTTAAAAAAAAAAAAACGTACATTTTTACCGCTCAGGAAGCATATGGCTTTGTTCCCACAACCAATGTGAAACCTTAAAGCATATGTTCCCATAACGCCAAACGAACCAAATGTGCTAGCTGGGTTAGTTCCATCTGAGATGTGATGCAACCAGGGATATATTCATTAGTGAATACATACAGTTTTGCAACGGAAAACGTTTTGCACCGAAAACCACAGTTTCTTATTGGACAAGTTCAGGGTTAGTCTCTCCCTGTTTTCAGCGTTTGCTTCAGTTTTGTTTCAAGTGAATACATCCCTGAGTAGTGCGAGGGAAATACAGATAAATAGAATCACTGTTGAATTTGATGGATTGGAAATGTAGCAAATTAGCAACAGGAATGGCATTCTGATTTGTTGATATTGTTGATTGACAGCTTTGAGAGTTTAAATTATACTACTGCATATATAGCTACTGCGTGAAGACTAAGGAGTGAACAATGATATGCACTCTACAAGGTGTCGAAAGCGTTCCACAGGGAAGCTGGCCCATGTTGACTCCAATGCTTCCCACAGTTCTGTTAAATTGGCTGGACGGTTGGTGGACCATTCTAGATACACACGGGAAACTGTTGAGTGTGGAAAAACCCAGCAGCGTTGCAGTTGTTCTTACAAACCGGTGCGCCTGGCACCTACTACCATACCCCGTTCAAAAGGCACTTAAATATTTTGTCTTGCCCATGCACCCTCTGAATGGCACACATACACAATCCATGTCTCAAGGCTTAAAAATCCTTCTTTAACCTGATTGAAGTGGAGTTAACAAGTGACATCAATAAATGATCATAGCTTTCAACTGGATTCTCTTGGTCAGTCTGTCATGGGAAAAAAGCAGTTGTTCCTAATTTTTTGTCCACTCAGTGTACGCGTCAGCAACCACAGCTAGTGAAATCACTGCAACCCTAAACAAAGAGTTGCAGTCCGTTTTGGAATGGGGTGGCTGGTAATACACTGGTCCTGAACATCTCTAAAACTAAGAGCATTTTATTTGGTACAAATCATTCCCCAAGTTATAGACCTCAGCTGAATCTGGTAATGAATGGTGTGGCTGTTGAACAAGTTGAGGAGACTTAACTTCTTGGTGTCACCTTAAACCAGGGATCATCAACTAGATTCAGCCGCGGGCCAACACAACGCCTCTCTCTATCGGAGCTAGTAACCTAGTAACCTAGTAACCTAGTTAAGTCAGATGTTCAGTACATGTAGTAAATGATGAATGCATGTAAGTCTGTCTATGTTAATGTTTTTAAATGTATGTAAATTGTAAAGTATTTTAGTCTGTAATGTAGTTTTCGTTATGTGTCGGACCCCAGGAAGACTAGCTGTCGCTATTGGCGTCGGCTAACGGGGATCCCAATAAAATGTATAAATGTATTTATTATAAGGTTGCATTCTACAGCTCCAGATTTCTGATCAATCTAATTGGATTGGATGGATCAGATTGATTGATTGACGATTGGGAAAAGATGGTATGATATTAATAACTTATTTTGGAAAGTAACTGATGATCAGTTTTAGTTTTCTGCCATCCCCCCCAAAAAAAGTATTATATGATTGTTGTTGTTGCATACTTCATCTAAGGCAGGGGGTGTCCACCTCGTCCCCATGGAGGGCCGAAAGGCTGCTGCTGTCAGCGGTTTCCTTTCACTTCAATTAATACCTGAACAACCTGGGTCCCAAACGTTGTCGAACGTTGCAGATAGAAATGCCGTGAATAGAGCCGACGTGATTCCTTGGTCTACGTGTCGGGAGAGGCATGTTTGTTCTACATTACATATTCCAATCTGAACATTCCAAAACGTTGTGTCCTGCTGAACGAGCCCCAGATTTAGCTAGAGAGCTAACTAGTCAACTAGGGCGTTTCTAACTAACAAATGACCTTAATTTATCAATCAAAGTACAAGGGAGGAGTCAAAAACCCGCAGACACGCTGCCCTCCGTGGAATGAGTTTCGCACTTGTGATCTAAAGGATAATTTCATTAAGAACGATCATCAGATCGGCCGGTCGCTCAGCTGCTAAACCGGTAACTGCAACTGGAGGGGGTTGGGATGAACATTTTTATTATGACACAGACATGTCTAAAGAAGAATCCCACTCTGAAAGTGTTGTTTGTATACCTAGAAATTAGATCCACACTGCAATAACCTATCCAGAAACACTATACCATGGGTAATTCAATCTTACCTTACGAGGTCGGGACTACTGCTAGGTTTTCTGTTCTACCTGATAACTAATTGCACTCACCTGGTGTCCCAGGTCTAAATCAGTCCCTGATTAGTGGGGAACAATGAGACAGAAAGTGGAACTGGCTTCAAGGTCCACATTTGAATTTGACGGTACTACATGCTTGGACTCACGCCGAGATCATGTCCCAGTTCTTGTAGCTAGATGGCGCCACAGTACTAGGTTGCTCAATAACTGCACTTGCCCCGTCTCAAAACTCACAGTGAACCACAACACAAATGGATTCATATCATATTAATACATAGGTCAGAGATTCATATACATCCTTTGTTTGTAAAAGGCTCTATTTCTGTTTTACATTTCCGTCCAACTCTGCTGAGCACAGTACATTATTTACGAAGGACATTTTCCTGTTGGTTGGGGCTTGTTGACAGGTTGAGTGAGGAGGCTGGATGAAATGTGCAGGTGTGAGTGTAAATCCCAAGTGGGGTGGGTTGTGGGTAGTGTGTGTGTGTGTGTCTGACTGTGCGTGTGCACGTGTGTGTGTGTGTCTGTTCGTCCATACAGTACATACGAGTGGCGCAGTGGTCTAAGGCGCTGCATCGCAGTGCTAGCTGTGCCACTAGAGATCCTGGTTCCAATCCAGGCTCTGTCGTAGCCGGCCGTGACCGGGAGACCCATGGGGTGGCGCACAATTGGCCCAGCATCGTCCAGGCTAGGGGAGGGAATGGCCGGCAGGGATGTAGCTCAGTTGGTAGAGCATGGCGCTTGCAACGCTAGGGTTGTGGGTTCGTTTCCCACGGGGGGACAGTATGAAAAATAAAAAAATAATGTATGCACTCACTAACTGTAAGTCACTCTGGATAAGAGCGTCTGCTAAATGACTAAAATAATAAAAATAAAAATGTACAGAGCCACGCCCTCAGCCACGCCCTCCTACCGTCACTATGTAGCCCTCAGCCCTCCTACCTGTCCCTGTGTAGCCCCCAGCCCTCCTACCTGTCCCTGTGTAGCCCTCAGCCCTCCTACCTGTCCCTGTGTAGCCCTCAGCCCTCCTACCTGTCCCTGTGTAGCCCTCAGCCCTCCTACCTGTCCCTGTGTAGCCCTCCCACCTGTCACTATGTAGCCCTCAGCCCTCCCACCTGTCCCTGTGTAGCCCTCAGCCCTCCTACCTGTCCCTGTGTAGCCCTCAGCCCTCCTACCTGTCCCTGTGTAGCCCTCAGCCCTCCTACCTGTCCCTGTGTAGCCCCCAGCCCTCCCACCTGTCCCTGTGTAGCCCTCAGCCCTCCCACCTGTCCCTGTGTAGCCCTCAGCCAAGCCCCCCTACCTGTCCCTGTGTAGCCCCCAGCCCTCCCACCTGTCCCTGTGTAGCCCTCAGCCCTCCCACCTGTCCCTGTGTAGCCCTCAGCCCTCCTACCTGTCACTATGTAGCCCTCAGCCCTCCCACCTGTCCCTGTGTAGCCCTCAGCCCTCCTACCTGTCCCTGTGTAGCCCTCAGCCCTCCCACCTGTCCCTGTGTAGCCCTCAGCCCTCCCACCTGTCACTGAGTAGCCCTCAACCCTCCTACCTGTCCCTGTGTAGCCCTCAGCCAAGCCCCCCTACCTGTCCCTGTGTAGCCCTCAGCCCTCCTACCTGTCCCTGTGTAGCCCTCAGCCCTCCCACCTGTCACTGAGTAGCCCTCAACCCAGCCCTCCTACCTGTCCCTGTGTAGCCCTCAGCCCTCCTACCTGTCCCTGTGTAGCCCTCAGCCCTCCCACCTGTCACTGAGTAGCCCTCAACCCAGCCCTCCTACCTGTCCCTGTGTAGCCCTCAGCCCTCCTACCTGTCCCTGTGTAGCCCTCAGCCCTCCCACCTGTCCCTGTGTAGCCCTCAGCCCTCCCACCTGTCCCTGTGTAGCCCCCAGCCCTCCTACCTGTCCCTGTGTAGCCCTCAGCCCTCCCACCTGTCACTGAGTAGCCCTCAGCCCTCCCACCTGTCACTGTGTAGCCCTCAACCCTCCCACCTGTCCCTGTGTAGCCCTCAGCCCTCCCACCTGTCCCTGTGTAGCCCTCAGCCCTCCTACCTGTCCCTGTGTAGCCCTCAGCCCTCCTACCTGTCCCTGTGTAGCCCTCAGCCCTCCCACCTGTCCCTGTGTAGCCCTCAGCCCTCCTACCTGTCCCTGTGTAGCCCTCAGCCCTCCTACCTGTCCCTGTGTAGCCCTCAGCCCTCCTACCTGTCCCTGTGTAGCCCTCAGCCCTCCTACCTGTCACTGTGTAGCCCTCAGCCCTCCTACCTGTCCCTGTGTAGCCCTCAGCCCTCCTACCTGTCACTATGTAGCCCTCAGCCCTCCTACCTGTCCCTGTGTAGCCCCCAGCCCTCCTACCTGTCCCTGTGTAGCCCTCAGCCCCCCTACCTGTCCCTGTGTAGCCCTCAGCCCTCCCACCTGTCACTGTGTAGCCCTCAGCCCTCCTACCTGTCCCTGTGTTGCCCTCAGCCCTCCTACCTGTCCCTGTGTAGCCCTCAGCCCTCCCACCTGTCACTGTGTAGCCCTCAGCCCTCCTACCTGTCACTATGTAGCCCTCAACCCAGCCCTCCTACCTGTCCCTGTGTAGCCCTCAGCCCTCCTACCTGTCCCTGTGTAGCCCTCAGCCCTCCCACCTGTCCCTGTGTTGCCCTCAGCTGCTGTCACAATAAAGAGCTGTATACTCAGTTACATACTGTAGCTCAATTGGTAGAGCATGGCGCTTGCAACGCCAGGGTTGTGGGTTCGATTCCCACCGGGGGCCAGTATGAAAAATGTATGCACTCACTAACTGTAAGTCGCTCTGGATAAGAGTGTCTGCTAAAATGACTAAAATGTAAATGTATACTGACAATAAAGCGCTGAATACTGACAATAAGGAGCTGTATACTGACAATAAAGAGCTGTATACTGACAATAAAGAGCTGTATACTGACAATAAGGAGCTGTATACTGACAATAAGGAGCTGTATACTGACAATAAGGAGCTGTATACTGACAATAAGGAGCTGAATACTGACAATAAGGAGCTGAATACTGACAATAAGGAGCTGTATACTGACAATAAGGAGCTGAATACTGACAATAAGGAGCTGTATACTGACAATAAGGAGCTGTATACTGACAATAAGGAGCTGTATACTGACAATAAGGAGCTGTATCCTGACAATAAGGAGCTGTATACTGACAATAAGGAGCTGAATACTGACAATAAGGAGCTGTATACTGACAATAAGGAGCTGTATACTGACGGGGTCAGATGCTGTCACAATAAATAATTATATACTGACAATAAAGAGCTGTATGCTGACAATAAAGAGCTGTATACTGACAATAAGGAGCTGTATCCTGACAATAAGGAGCTGTATACTGACAATAAAGAGCTGTATACTGACAATAAGGAGCTGTATACTGACAATAAGGAGCTGTATACTGACAATAAAGAGCTGTATACTGACAATAAGGAGCTGTATCCTGACAATAAGTAGCTGTATACTGACAATAAGGAGCTGTATACTGACAATAAGGAGCTGTATCCTGACAATAAGTAGCTGTATACTGACAATAAGGAGCTGTATACTGACAATAAGGAGCTGTATACTGACAATAAGGAGCTGTATACTGACAATAAGGAGCTGTATACTGACGGGGTCAGATGCTGTCACAATAAATAATTATATACTGACAATAAAGAGCTGTATGCTGACGGAATATGTTCCGGAATTCAATTAAGTTTGCAGATGACACGATGGTGGTAGGCCTGATGAGACAGCCAATAGGGAGGAGGTCAGAGACATGAAGATAAAGGAGCTGAGTGTGGACCACGGAGGGCCGATCACGCCACCATCCACATCGACGGGCCTGTTGTGGAGCACGGAGGGCCGATCACGCCACCATCCACATCGACGGGGCTGTAGTGGAGCAGGACGAGATCTTCCAAGTTCCTCGGTGTCCACATCACTAAGGATCTATCATTGTCCACACACCCCAACACCGTTGTGAAGAGGGCATGACAACGCCTCTTCCCCCTCTGGAGGCTGAAAAGATTTGGCATGGACCCTCAGATCTTCAAAAAGTTCTACAGCTGCACCATCGAGAGCATCTTGACTGGCTGCATCACCGCCTGGTATGGCAACTGCTTGGCATCTGACAGCAAAGCGCTACAGAGGGTAGTGCGTACGGCCCAGTACATCACTGCCATCCAGGACCTCTATACCAGGCGGTGTCAGAGGAAGACCCCAAAAATTGTCAAAGACTCCAGCCACCCAAGTCAAAGACCGTTCTTACTGCTACCGCACGGCAAGCCGTACTGATGAACCAAGTCTAGAACCAACAGGATCCTGAACAGCTTCTACCCCCAAGCCATAAGACTGCTAAATAGTTAGTTAAATAGTTAACCAATAGCTACACGGACTATCTGCACTGACCCTTTTTGCACTAACTCTTTTGACTCATTACATACGCAGCTTTTACTGTTTACTATCTATCCTGTTTCCTAGTCACTTTATCCCTACCTACATGTACATACACATAAATGCCAAAAGTATGTGGACACCCCTTCAAATTAGAGGATTCGGTTATTTCAGCCACACCCGTTGCTGACAGGTGTATTAAATCAAGCACACAGCCATGCAATCTACATAGGAAAAAACATAGGCAGTAGAAAGGCCTTACTGAAGAACTCAGTGACTTTCAACGTGGCACCGTCATAGGATGCCACCTCTCCAACAAGTCAGTTAGTAGGCCACACAAGCTCACAGAACGGGACCACCAAGTGCTGAAGCGCTTAATACGTAAATATTGCAGCACTTTGATTTGAAATAATATAATGACTATGAGGTTAAAGTGCAGACTGTCAGCTTTAAGTTGAGGGTATTGACATCCATTTCGGGTGAACAGTTTAGAAATTACAGCACTTTTTGTACATAGTCCCCCCATATAGGGGACCAAATGTATTGTGACAAATTCACTTATATGTCTATTAAAGTAGTCAAAAGTTAAGTATTTGGTCCCATATTCATAACACATATTGACTACATCAAGCTTATGACTCTACACAGTTGTTGGATAAATGTGCTGTTTGTTTTGGTTGTGTTTCAGATTATGTTGTGCCCAATAGAAATTAATAATGTATTGTGTCATTTTGGAGTCACTTTTATTGTAAAAAAGAATATAATATGTTTCTAAACATATTTCTACATTAATGTGGATGCTACTATGATTATGGATCATCCTGAATGAATCGTGAATAATGATGAGTGAGAACGTTACAGAGGCATTAATATTATATACCCCCAAAAATGCTAACCTCCCCTGTTATTGTAATGTTGAGAGCATGTCTTGGGGGTCTGGTACTGTATAGATGTAATGGTTAGCGGTTAGCATGTCTTGGGGGTCTGGTACTGTATAGATGTAATGGTTAGCGGTTAGCATGTCTTGGGGGTCTGGTACTGTATAGATGTAATGGTTAGCGGTTAGCATGTCTTGGGGGTCTGGTACTGTATAGATGTAATGGTTAGCGGTTAGCATGTCTTGGGGGTCTGGTACTGTATAGATGTAATGGTTAGCGGTTAGCATGTCTTGGGGGTCTGGTACTGTATAGATGTAATGGTTAGCGGTTAGCATGTCTTGGGGGTCTGGAGCAGCAGACAGAGAATTTGAACCCCTGACCTTGGAGGTCCATAGATCAAACATTGAGACGGATAGGGTTAGATTTCGTTAAGGTAAAGGTTAGAGTTCGTAAAGGTTAGAGTTGAGGCGATAACTGTTTTGCCTGAGGGTGTTCCTTTCAACATGGCCACTATGACTGACGCATTATTATCAGGGGCGCCAAGTTGATTACCTTTCTGACTGGGAACAGAAAGAGTGTTTACAAGGGAGTCATTATAGTGTTTAGAAGGGAGTCATTATAGTGTTTAGAAGGGAGTCATTATAGTGTTTAGAAGGGAGTCATTATAGTGTTTAGAAGGGAGTCATTATAGTGTTTAGAAGGGAGTCATTATAGTGTTTAGAAGGGAGTCATTATAGTGTTTAGAAGGGAGTCATTATAGTGTTTAGAAGGGAGTCATTATAGTATTTAGAAGGGAGTCATTATAGTGTTTAGAAGGGAGTCATTATAGTGTTTAGAAGGGAGTCATTATAGTGTTTAGAAGGGAGTCATTATAGTGTTTAGAAGGGAGTCATTATAGTGTTTAGAAGGGAGTCATTATAGTGTTTAGAAGGGAGTCATTATAGTGTTTAGAAGGGAGTCATTATAGTGTTTAGAAGGGAGTACTTTCAATGACTAGTGTGTGATTGTCACGAACGTTGAGAGACGGGTCGGACCAAGGTGCAGCGTGAAAAGCGTACATGTTTATTACCTCAATAAACGTACAACAAAACAAGAAACAACGTAACGCGAAGTCCAAAGGGCTATACACACACCAGACTAACAGGAACAAGATCCCACAATACACAGCAGGCAACCGGGATACCTAAGGATGATCCCCAATCAGAGACAACGAGCGACAGCTGCCTCTGATTGGGAATTACACCCGGCCAAACATAGAAAGATCAACCTAGATCTACCACATAGAAATACACTAACATAGATCTCAACAGAAAACTCACACCCTGACCCAACCAACAAGAGTTCTCTCGATCAGGGCGTGACAGTACCCCCCCCCCAAAAAAATACGTACTCCGGCCGCACCAACCTGACTCATTAGGGGAGGGTCCGGGTGGGCCTTCGTCCTCGGATGCGGATCCGGCTCCGGGCGTGACGACCTCTCCCTCTCTGCCTCCCTGTTGCGCCCCTGGTCTGGTTTGGTGCGAGGAGCTGGCACAGGACGCACTGGGCTGTGGAGGCGCACTGGCGACGCAGTGCATTTCTCCGCATACCTAGGTTCCTCAATGAACACACGCTCCTTCTGTTGCCTGACCAGCTCCTCTCTCCGTGCCTCCACTACTTCCTTCTCCCTTTGAGCCTCCTGTAGCGCCTCCTGTATCGCCTCCCTCCTGCTTCCTCTGAGCTAACAGCCCCCTTAACGTGGTGGCCTCCTCTCTCAGACTGCTCCAGTCCTTCTCTCTCTCCCGCCAATCCTCCTCCAGTGAGGACTCTGATTGGGAACCACACCCGGCCAAACATAGAAAGATCAACCTAGATCTACAACATAGAAATACACTAACATAGATCTCAACAGAAAACTCACACCCTGACCCAACCAACGAGAGTTCTCTCGATCAGGGCGTGACAGTGATTGACATGATGTTTAGCTCCAGGCAGTTTCACCTCTAGCCTTTAGAGGGGCTCTAAGTGAGATTTGGTTGGCTGAATACATTTAATTAAACTGCTGAAAACCCTCCCACTTGCTAGCCAACAGATTTTCTCATGGAGTTTTCATTCAATAGGGTTTTCAGTACATTTATCTAAAGCCATTCCTTAAAATGTGGGGTACCTTTAATTAGAATTTTCGACAGACTCACTAGAATACAGTGGGGAAAAAAAGTATTTAGTCAGCCACCAATTGTGCAAGTTCTCCCACTTAAAAATATGAGAGAGGCCTGTAATTTTCATCATAGGTACACATCAACTATGACAGACAAAATGAGAAAAAAAATTCCAGAAAATCACATTGTAGGATTTTTAATGAATTTATTTTCAAATTATGATGGAAAATAAGTATTTGGTCAATAACAAAAGTTTCTCAATACTTTGTTATATACCCTTTGTTGGCAATGACACAGGTCAAACGTTTTCTGTAAGTCTTCACAAGGTTTTCACACACTGTTGCTGGTATTTTGGCCCATTCCTCCATGCAGATCTCCTCTAGAGCAGTGATGTTTTGGGGCTGTCGCTGGGCAACACAGACTTTCAACTCCCTCCAAAGATTTTCTATGGGGTTGAGATCTGGAGACTGGCTAGGCCACTCTAGGACCTTGAAATGCTTCTTACGAAGCCACTCCTTCGTTGGCCCGGGAGGTGTGTTTGGGATCATTGTCATGCTGAAAGACCCAGTCACGTTTCATCTTCAATGCCCTTGCTGATGGAAGGAGGTTTTCACTCAAAATCTCACGATACTTGGCCCCATTCATTCTTTCCTATACACGGATCAGTCGTCCTGGTCCCTTTGCAGAAAAACAGCCCCAAAGCATGATGTTTCCACCCCCATGCTTCACAGTAGGAATGGTGTTCTTTGGATGCAACTCAGCATTCTTTGTCCTCCAAACACGACGAGTTGAGCTTTTACCAAAAACTTATATTTTGGTTTCATCTGACCATATGACATTCTCCCAATCCTCTTTTGGATCATCCAAATGCACTCTAGCAAACTTCAGACGGGCCTGGACATGTACTGACTTAAGCAGTGGGACACGTCTGGCACTGCAGGATTTGAGTCCCTGGCGGCGTAGTGTGTTACTGATGGTAGGCTTTGTTACTTTGGTCCCAGCTCTCTGCAGGTCATTCACTAGGTCCCCCCGTGTGGTTCTGGGATTTTTGCTCACCGTT